CTCACGTTCCTTTGCACTACACAAAGTCAGCGAGGATAACTTTGACTCCTGTTAATGCTGTTACTGCACTATGCAGATGTTTCCTGGAGTATCTTGTGCACACATGATAGATTACAGGTGTTCTCTTGAAGTATTGTTTTCAAAACAGTATAATGAAAATATTCAGCCTGTTCTCTTTATCTGGTCTCACATGCAATATAAATACACAGGCTGAATAGACACTGAAAACCCCGTAGGTTATGCTGTTTGGGTAGATAACTTACAGCTCTTTCATACCCAACCATTTACATATTGAAGATCTGTACTTATGCAGATGTCAGAGTGATGTTTTTCCCTATTGCAAACACTGCAGAGTGTTGGTATCACCCTATTGATAACAACTCGTAGGTAACTTGAATTTTTAAAAGGCGTAATGCCATCAAGCATATCGAAAAACATATTCTTAACTTCGTGTTTTGCTTGCTTCTTTCATCTTAGTGTTGTTAGCCTTTTTAAAATCAAGTTTAATGATTTGAAGACCTTTCTGCACACCTAGATTTGGAGTACAAAGGACATGCATTCCCCACGAAACAGATGGTAAAAGCACATGCTTGTTATTCTTATCCCCTGCCATATCAGAATTTATTTGTACCTTGAATCAGTTTTGTCTTTTTCAGGTATTCAGACTTATTAAGGTAGCTGTGTGTTATTTATGACCCTTTCCCTTGTCCTGCATTTTAACTTAAAAGGATATTAAATCACTGTTACAAAGTTGCTACCCATGCAGATATTTTTGTGTTGCATAGAATGCAGTATGCTTTTGTTTGCTTTTAAACATTATTTAAAATGTTTTTGGTGCTTTGGTCACTGGCAATTTCTTTAGTTACACATGAATCTGTGAATGTCTAGATTAGAAATACCTACATTTTTAAATATCCATTTAAAAATATATTTGATACCGGGGCAGTTGTTGGTATTGGATACATGTCTAGAGGAAAAAAAATAGCGAGAAAAACTTAATATATATTGCACTATGCCACACTCAAATCCTTTCAGTTTGTCCTCTGAATATCTTATAGTTCTTTTGTTATTCAATGGCTTTTTACAATATTAAATTTTCATCACTCAGTAATTTCTCTCATTTCAAATGTCATCCTATTACGATTCTATCAGAAGTCAAAGCATATCTATGCATCATTCGATTACTCTCAGTGCTCATTTTTCCATTGAAAACAAAACGTCTCATTCAGCATATGCAGATTTCCCCTATTTGCCTTAGTGAAATTAACACTGAAGGCCTCTGCTCCAAAAATATCACTGATTTTTTGCCTTTGAATTAAAAAAAAAAAAAATTTCCTAGCCTGCCTCATCTTCAACAAAGAACGACTTCATTAGCTTTTGGTAGTTATCTAGTCCTTGCAGTACTCTTGGTTTTAGAGTCTGCAGGTGGTTTCTTTCTTGACTTATTCTGCAAGAAAGTTAGACTATTCCTTTTTATTATTCTTTGCCAGGCTTGTGGGAACAGAGATCAATTTTTCTAACAGGCTTTTCATACAGGCACTGCACTGTCGCCTCAAGGCCAACAGAGAAAGAATAAGAAATCATTTGCTATGTCTCTTTTTAGAGGAGGATAAACCTTATACAACTGCATGAATACACTGCATTTGCTCAAATTCTCCAAACAATTACTACTGCATTAATTAGAGAACACTGCCATTTCAAAGTCCATTAGCAAACAGTCCTTTCTTTAAGGTAGCCATCTTCATGGCAGATAGGCATGAGAGGCAGCCATACTTCAACACAGAAATTGGTGTTTCCCAAAGTAGCATTGGAAAATTGCTTAAAACATGTTTTGTGAAAAAAGAAAATTCTCAATTTCCTCTTTGCTAATTCAAGTGCCCTATTATGTATTTAAAGTTTTAATCTTAAAAGTATTACTAGCACCTATTTACATGCTTATTAATAGTAGGTATCTGTCAATTTACCTGGAAGTGTAGCTTTTTTATAGAAATCTTTTCAAAAGATTCCTAGCTTCCTGGTCTACCATCATATTTAGTACATTTTCCTAGTCTGAGCAAAAGTCTTCCTCAAAATCTTACCCTCTGCTGAAATAAATGGAGGTTTTCCACAGAATATGTATTTTCTCCCAAGCTACCACCAAGCTGCCTATGGGAGGAATAGAAATATCAAACAGCCAGAAATCCCTCACGACCGCAGGCAGTTATACTGTGCTTCTCCTTCCCACTTGAAGGGCTTGGGTGGGTTACCTCATACCTGACCACAGCCTTAGTTTTACACGGCCCCTCTGCAGTCTCTAAATAAACATTTACAACTCCCTTCACATCACAGAACCACAGAGTAGCCGAGGTTGGAAGGGGCCTCTGGACCTCACCTTGTCCAACCTTCTGCTCAAAGCAAGTCCAGCCTCTCTTGGCAATCTCTTCTCACTTGTTTGACCAACTTCACTGTAAAAAGTGTTTTCTTATATCTATCTACCTGGAATTTCCCCTACTCAACATGCTCCTGTTGCCTCTTGTGCTAGTCCTAGGGATGTCCGAGTAGAGTCTGGCTCTGCTCAGTGCGCGCTGCAGTTAGATACCCCAATGTACCTGAATGCAGCAATTACATTCCCCCCAAGCCTTTTCTTCTCAAATTGTACCCAACTTTAAAGGAAATAAATTTTCTCAATTTTTGTGTAAAAAAGAAAGTATTTTTTATAATCAATTCATCTGCTAAAATGTAAGATTCCTGTTCCAGTCACACTGATAATGACCAGCAGATAGATATAAATGATTGGAAGTAGCTGCGTTGTAAACTTGTGCCATGTTTATAGCCGCTTTTAGTAATTTCAGACATGAAGTTTTAAATCATGAACCTTATCAGACTTGCTCTTAGTAAATCATTTAGAAATTTTAGCCACAATGGCAACTCGATGTTCGAACATCATACTTACTCCGACTTGAGACATATTCCATACCTCGAGTTGAATTTTTAAACAGACAGTCTGCTCAGAAAATGTCCATTCTTGCTACTTGAATTTTAGCTAGATAGCACGCGTGTGGGCAAATGTAAAGTATTAAGTGCTAAGGAAACCGAGTAATTCACACACAGAAGGACTTTCTCTATGCTGTCACGTTAAATTCAAGGAGAATACTTTTAATGATAACTTGAAGTATAAATAAACCTACTGCAGAAGGGATTTAAGGAAAGGAAACACTAGCAGAAGCTTTGTGAAATAGTGAAAAACTCTGGGTTAAATATATCAGAGCTCCTGCTAAGCGGAACTGACAGAGCTGCTGGGATCGTGCAGTGACCTGATTAAGATTTAAGAGAGTAGTGAGAAACCATGCTCTCTGACCACCTCTATAGGATTTTATCATAAATTTTTATATTAACTTGGTGTATATATATATAGACATCTTGCTCTTAAAATAGGTCTTGGATTGCCATGAGCTGAGGACTAAATATAGATACCACTAAGTCCCATTACTTTTATGAAAGCAAATAGAGGAACATCCTCTTCAAAAGCAAAGAAACATTAAATAGCCACAGTGCAAGAAAAATACACTTTTGTGTATGTATTATGTCCAGAAGCATTTTTGTTTCTGGAAATTTTCACATGCATCCAAAAATTCATCATTAAAGTGAGAAAAGATCTTAGACTAACTTCTGGAGAGATATAATTGTCTCTTATCCAATAATCAGCATTTTCATTTCTCCATTTTCTCTCCATAAATTTGGTAAAATCTTTTTTAATATACACATCCTTGGAAGTTGAACACATTTTCTGATTTCTGTCCTTTCTTATAACATTGAAAATTGAGTCTTTTAAGAATATATTAACAGCACTAATAGTCTCATACACAGAAATCCTTCTTTCATTTCAATCTCCAGTAAATAACATGCATAGGATTGTAAGAAAAGTGAAGACTATAATAAAGAGATCCTGAGATACCTATATATATGTTTCAAATATATTCATACATAATAATACACAGTTTGTCCTAGTGGATTACTAAGAAATGGAGTGCTGTGCTACTTACTGGGACAACGATACCAAAGTGCTGCAGCGAGGCTTGCCAGGGCTCACATTTTAGCTCCCACAATCAGTTTATCCTCTCACGTAGGGAAGCAGACTCCTACAACCAGAAGTCTTATTTGCAACTAAATTTCCACTTCTCCTAGATGTCCTGGGCAGCTGCCGTGCCACCAAAATCCCATGCTAATGTACATTTTATTGTACTAACTCAGCATCAATATTCAATGTAGCAATGAAGATATGTTGGTTATAGCTTTCAAATAATCCTCAAGACAATGTCAAGACATTGTGTACATTATTTTGAAACACACAGTGAACAGTTCACAGCTCTGTATATTAATGAATAGGTGAGAACAAATCTTTACATTCGCTGAAAACATGTTGCACTGCACACTAGCAAAAAAGTGTATTATTATTTGAAATCACGCTCTTTTCATGGATCGTGAGAATTTAAGAGCAGGATGGCAAAGGGTGTTTACACAGGCACTTAGCCAGGAAACACTGTGTTTTCCACAGATACAGTCATTCAGGGAGCACATCTCCTCTGTTTTTTGCAAGCTCTCTCCCCCTGTTCTGATAGCCCTGTGATTGTATCAAAAATTCTATCTGTAGGTGGGAAAACACACACTTGTTCTGCACAGCATATTCAAATGCTGCCTCTTTCCTTTAGGTAAGTACTACCACACTGAGGCCATTTGTAGGAATTTTACAGAGCAAGATAAACAAATGCAAAGCTCTTAAGGAAACACGCGAACGGCAGGATGGCTTCCTGGTGAATCGTTACCAAAAATCTGCATGAGAACAGCACAGAAGAATGCACTTCAATCTCGTGTTGAACGAAGAACTGCTTATTAGCAGGCTGCACGGAAAACCTCCCGAGATAGCAAGCCTATCACTTTATTGCTGGGTGCCTTCCTGCATTTTAAGCTGCAGCTCAAGATCCCTCCGGATCATGTGAGGCAAGGTTATATATGAGCGCGGTGCTATAGTGCTGCGTGCGTGTAAGCCCAGCAGCTGGGTAATGTTATGGTTGCTGCTTTCCTGTGCTAAGCTGATTTACTTGTTTAAGGTCTGACCTCATCATCCTGTCAGTATGGATTCCCACCTATGCAGCTAGCAGCAGCTTAGCATCGGCTTGAAGAGCTTGCAGTGTATTAATCAGGAGAGAGCAACGAGCTACCGGTATTTGTTCTTTTGTTGTCTTTTCTTAAGAAGAGGAGTTGAAACACAAGAGATAACAAAGAATCCATTTCCTTCCTGAAAGGATAGGCTTTTGTCTCCGGCTTTCTTTTCCTTTTTTTTTTTTTTTTTCTTCTCTCTCCTCTTTTCTCTGAAAAAAATGTCAGTATCTGGAAAGAAAGAGTTTGACGTGAAGCAGATCCTGAGGCTCCGCTGGAGGTGGTTCAGCCACCCCTCGCAAGGCTCCGCCGGCACCGGAGGCCACAGAGGGACACCCGTTCAGAACAGGTTGAAGAACCACTCTCGGGACAGGAATGGGCTGAAGAAAAACAGCAGCCCCGTCCACCACAACATACTGGCCCCTGTGCCAGGTCCTACCCCAGTGCACCACCGAGCTCTCCAGTCCTGGCATCACCAAAACCTCATAGAGCAGCTTCGAGCAAATGAGGATATTCCCAAAACTGGCACAGAGGAAAACTGTGTTAAAGAAGATTCAAAAACCACACAGGAGTTGCAGATGATCACAGAGGAAAATTCAGATGAATCTACAGAGAGGTAGGAGCTTTAAAGTTTGCACTTGGAAAACGATACTTCTATTCAAGTTATCCCCTAAACTCACCTCTGTTTTTACCTAGAATTCCTTCCTGCATTAAACTCACTTTATATATGTGCACATCCACACTGACGTGAATCAAAATATGTTTACAGTAAAAATGAAAAATAAAAGGAACATGTCATGACCTTTTGATACCTTTGCTTGACATAGATCATTTTGGAGCTATTCTCTAAAAGTCAAATCCGTTGGTCAAATTCTGTTACAGTCTACAGCACGTTAATTTGTTGACTTGATTTATTACGCATAACAACAGTGACAAAGTGAGTCCTCTGAAACAGTGTCCTCATTCTAATGTTATCAATGGGAACAACTTGGACAAATGGGAACTGCTGGAGTTGCTGAGTCTGGGTGGTTGCCAGCAGGCTGCCAGATTTCCCACTGCCTTTTCTTACTGTCTTCTTGACAAACATAATTAACTTTGAGATAGGTAAAAAGGGAGCACCCTTGCTTGATTTTTCTAAGGGTTATTTGAAATCATATTAATTTTTATAGTCTGCTTAACCTACTAGGAGACAAATATTCTATTATCTGACCTTGCAAAAAGTATTACAGCTGTGAGATCTCAAAGGTATAACCACAAAATATGAGCTATTTTTTAAAATCTTAACACAGAGAGCAAAAATATCAGTACAAGGCATTTGATTAAATATGCCTTATAATTGTTTTGTTTTTTCTTTTCAAAATTGATGTCAATACTACTAGTTTATATGATAACTATTTTACTTCACATTTATCCCACCTTGGACTCAAATTATGCATTTGTAATGCGATTATTTGCACCATATGATGGGATTATTATCTGTCTGGGAATAACTCAAGATATTTACATCGTACTTAAATACAGATTTATCTTACTTGAAGTTAGTTTCTCTCTGTAAAACAAAGCTGACAGTTTGTGTATTTTTAGCAGTTGTTATTCTTCAAGTTGTGCATCTGGTATAGGGAACATCTGCGGTCTGAAGAGCAGAAAAGGCATTCCAAAAATATCATTCCGAAAAGTTCCAGTAGTCAATGTATACTACATAAACTCATTACAAAATAAAATTATGAAGTAAGAATTTGATGGTTTGGTATGTTTACTACTGTTCTAGTTTATAATGAGTAACATAAACACACTCTAGTATGTCTTATTTTAAATGACAATACAGATCACCCAAAAATATAAATTGGTAGCTGTATGTGCACGTCAGGAAGAAAGCCAATTGAATGTGAGGAAGATTAACAAACACTAAATCAACAAAATATCACTGTATCTATATTATGTAAAAATAAAAATAAAAGAAGAAAAGAGCATAATGCATTCGCTTTACAAGGTATTAAGTTGTTGCCTTCCAAAAAAAGATCTGATAGTCCATAGATGGAGAAAACTATCAGATCTTATTTTAGATGGAGAGAACTTTCTACTAATATCTCATGAACTTGTTTGCTTTTTTATTCATTCAAATTAAACACTTCAGAAGAAGAACTTTAAGGTTGCAGCTTTTTAGAAAAGTTCTGCAATTATATACCTCAGAAAGTTGCTGCATACAAGTAAATGCATTTTTGTAAAGTTATCAGAAGTTTGTTAAGCATATTCTATGTTAAAGCCTATCATAACACATCATAAAAGGTTAAATTTGTAAGGAATTCACTAAAAAGAGGGAATTACTATGAGGTACACTACAAAAAAAGATCTTATATCAAGCAAATAAAATAGACCATTAAAGAAAATCCTAGCTGAACTCCAAGATCTCAAATACATATAATACTTAAGTTCTAAGCAAATCATAATTCTCCCCGCTGCTACAGCATCCAATGCCGGCCACACAATAATTAACATGTTTGGATAGGAACACAATATTGGTCATGCTTTAGTCATGGCAAACAAAGAGAGAAATACCTTACTTAATCAATAAAGGTTGCTGGCTCAGGAAGACACCTCCTCTTGCACATTTGAACTGTCTTTCTAAATCAGCCTGGCTCTGGGCCTTCTTTGAAAGTTCCAGGGAGTCACAACTGGTTTCAGTCAATGGAGTCAGCAAGTGATTAGCACCTCTGAAAAACCTGGCATTTGCAGCATGGCCTAACACCATCTTTCTACACTATTAAAGCCAAGGCTTTACAGTTAATGAAAAGCAATTTCTTTTAGCAGCCTAGTGCTTCCTACCAGAAAGCTTTGGAAACAAGACACCAGTTTTCATACTTTCTTCAGATGCCTTTCTATTATTATTATTATTTTTTTAAAAGTAAGCTGGAAGTTAGGCTTTCAGGAATGCAAACAGAGCACACTGAGTTTTGACGAAATAAAGGTTATTTATTAAGGAGGAAATTTCAAAAAAGTGTTTCATTATGGCTATGCTATTATGAATAAATTCAATTGATTCTGCTTTTTTAAATCTTATTGCTACTAGAATAAGTGAAATAATTCCAATATCTGAAATAATAAAGGCAAGACTTAAAGCAATCCTTTCGATTAGTAAAAAGGATATATAAATGGACTCTCATCTGCATATAAGCTATCAACTCAGGTCTGCATATAAGCATATTTCAGGCATTTCTTGTTTTAATTCTGACAAACAGGCTTATTCCTGGATATCCCATGACACCTGACAAAGTAAATGAAAGCTTAAGTGCTCAAAAGTCATTAATTTTACTAGTAGTAGCCAATTAACATGAGACCAAGCAATACCTGCAGGGTGCATAAAGAAAGATTGCTTATTGGCACAAGATTAAGTAAAACTATGTCAGTATGAAAAGCATGGCAATCATATGACATGTAAAAGTATGCAGTGGAGGTCCTTGGATTTCTGTGGATCTTATTTAACAGAAATCTACAGTGCAAAATGGGCTATGCAAAAGAAAAGAAAAGAAAAAAGCCTCAATTCCTAAGAACAGAATTCATCAATCTCTGAAATTTCCTTAAGGATTTCTAAATTCTCCAAAAATCGTATATATTGAAAGGTCTCCCAAAATGTTTGGGGATCTTCTTATCAATAGTTGCTAGGGGAACATACTCAAGAAATATCAGTTGGTATCGGCCTACTGTCTGAATGATGATTAGGACCTGATCTCTGGTGAAAAATAGAGAAACAGCAAAATACAGAATAGGTGCTAAGGTCTTTTATTTATTTGCCCGCTATTTCCCACTGTAGAACATTATTGTGTTACTGGGCTAATCATACAGCTAAACCCTGCAGAAAATGCCCATGCAAATAAAAAGCAAAAATGTGCAAAGATTTTAGGTTTGATTAAGGTAATAGGAGCTTAAGTGATCTCTGAAAGAATACACAGTAAATAAACTGTGACTTTTGGTAGCCTGTTGGTGATCATCTCCTATCCTGTCTGCCTTATCTGGAATGTGTTCAGGTTTAATCTCCTCCATCAGGGAGACCAAAATGCCTGAAAGTCAGCCTCACTTCTTTCAAAGAAAGTAATCTGGCAGGGTTTCAGAGACATCAAAGGAAATTCTGAGGATGCGATTGCTCAATTTGGTCTACTGGTCTAAAAAACTTTCTTCTTGTGCATAATACACAAATCCACCCTTGTGCACACACTAACTGAGAAAGCACTGATACCTCCTAAAAACAGTTATCCCTGAAATCTTGATATTATCTTTATTACTTCTGTTGATAAATTCTGGACTCAAAAGCACATCTGTATAAAGCTCTTTTTTTTTTTTTTTTTTTGCTTTTTTTGTGAGTCTGTTTTCTGTTTCAATTTAAAACTTCAGTTTCAGAAGTTAAAAGGGACAATTTCACTGGTGGAAACAAAACAAATTACTTCAATAGAAATTATTCTAACAAAAATTGGTCAGACCGATTTTATCATAGAACTAGATTTCTGTGTATCCAAACCAAGCACTACAACTGATTCACGAGAATGACTGAAAACGAATGACAATGGATCAGTTTTCCAATTTTACCTGGTATATGAATGGACTGTGATGTATCCTCTGCAGAGCAGATATTAAAGGACTGCATTTTGAGTAGTACATCATGACTGTACATCCCCCTCCTGAACAGGAGATCAGATTTTGATCCATTCTGATGCCTAAGGCAAAAGTTTAGAAATGAATATTCCATTGTTCTATATATATAAATATTTGTTTTTTCAGGAATATTATGTTCCAGAACTGCTGTATTTCCATTTCTTGTAACCTGACACTCCTGACACATTCCAGGATGTCTGTCTCCTTATAGTGCTGCGGCCAGAACTATATACATTCTGGTTAAACCATGACAGTTCTAGACTAGAGGGCTGGGTTATTGACATATCATTTGGACTAAAATCCCATGTGAATATTCTGTTTGGTGTTTATTCTTACCAACAAGATGCCATTGCTTCTAGCTGGCTTGTGATTCATTATAACTTTCCTATCCTTTACTGAAGCCCTGTTCCCTAAGACATCTGCACATTTTTGCACTTAGTTATTTCTAAATATATTTTCCTAAATATGGAAAAATCTACATCCTCATGCACACCATATAAAAAATGCAAATCAAATAATATAAAAACACCAGGGATCTCACTGAATTGCATGCATATATGGACTTTTATACATGTGACATTAGCTGTAACTACATAACCGTAGACCTAACAATGACTTCCAATAAACATATTTTCAGATAGGATCTGATCACCTTGAAGAACATGATTTGCAGATGAGAGTCTGAAAAGTTGATATGCAAATTCTACCATTTAAAGGAAAGGCAACAATCTGTTTTCCTTAGCTTCCGTTTCTCATGCACATGCTGACCAGAGATTGTGCTATAGTAAGTTAGTGTTTAGGTTTCATTATACTCCTGTACTACCCTGTACTACATAAAAGGTATTTCTGGTGTATAATGATACAGTCCTACACCTAATCCATAGTATGCGTATAACATTATATGAAAGCAAAACTTTTTCTTGCATTGGATCCAAAATTACTATATTTTCTCAGTATTTCTAGATGAGATAG